AATCTTTTTAAAAGATAGTTGGGGAAGGCTTTACAGTTGTTCATATAGGTATCTGGAGAAAGAACATTCCAAGCAAGGGGAATAGCTAGTGTAAAGGTCTAGTCCACACCAAGCGTGTTTGAAGAACAGCAGGGACACCAGAGTGGTGGGAGCAGATTGAGTTGGGGGAGAACCACAGGAAATAAAATCAGCGAGAAAATGGGGAGGCTTGAGGACAGTGTAGGCAGTGGGTCATCTTCCAGGAGTTTGAAATCACCAAGAATTAACAATAGCAGTTAATGTTGGGAGAATGATGTGGGACAGGAACTAAAATCTCCAAGGAAGGTGAGGGAGTGACCCAGGGATCAGTGACTGATGACCCCACTTTTACTTTGGATAGGGAGCTTTTGGAGGGGTGAACAGAGCAGTGCCAGAATCTGACTACTTTTCCTGATATTCCTCTGCCTGGTGTATTGAGAATAGACCACACAGGATGGGACAGAGTCCGGGAGACCAGTTGGTAGCCTCTAGGGTTAGTCCAAGCAAGAGATGATGTTGATTTGGACCAAGGAAGAAATACTAAAATTGGTGAAAATAGGTCAAGGTATGGATATATTTGGTAAGTAGAACTTGCAGGATTTGCTACCAAATTATATGCGGGTTATGAAAGGAAGGTAGCAATCAAGGATAAATTCAAGTGTTTTTTGTTTTTTTTTTCATCTAGGAAAACTGAAATAATGGAGAATACTAAATAAGGTAGCAGACTAGATCCAGAGTTAGTTTTATGAAGTTCAAAATGCCTATTAGACATTCAAGTGGAGATGTAAAGTTGGTAATTGGATACAGAGAAGAAAGCTTGGTAAAAGCTTTCAGACTCACCAGTGTATGGGTGGTACTGAAATTCATAACACTAGATAAAATCTATAAGGCATTCAGAGTCAATGGATAAAAGAATTCCAGTTACTGGACACATGTTTGGGGAATTCCAAGATTAAATTGTAAGGAATATATGAAAATGAATTTACAAAGAATCCAAAAAGTAGTCATTCAGAAAAAAAGATAAAGACAGAAGCGTATGCTGTTCTGGAAGCCAAGTGAAGAATGTGTATCAAGGAGGAGGAAGTGATTGGCTATGTTAACACACTCGGAAGGTCAGGTAAAATGAGGACTGGGAGCCAACCATTGAAGTTAGCAACATGAATGTGATTTATGACCTTGACAAAAACAGTCACAGTAAAGTCAGTGGAGGGGAAAGCCTTACTGAAGGGGACAAGAGAGGGTACAAGGAGGGCAGCTGGAGACAATGAGTGTAGACAACCCGATTGAAGAGTTTTGCTATAAAATTAGAGAGAAAATTGGAGTAGTCATTGAAGGGAGACGCGGAGTCAAGAGAAATTTCTTTTTAAAACAAGAGAAATAACAGCATGTTTGTATGATGAGCAAGTAGAGAAAGGAAGAAATTGACAATTCAGGAGAGAGGAAGATTGAGGTGCCGTGTCCTTGAGCAGCCAAAAGAGACTGATACCCAGCACATAAGTGGAGGAGGTGGCTTTAGAGAGGAGCAGGGGCAGTTCATTCACAGTCAGAGGAGGGAACACAGTGCAAGAGCAGAGACGCAAGTAGGTATGAACATGTGGGACTTTTCTTTTGATGACTTCTATTTTCTTGATAAAATAGGAAACAATGTCCTCATCTGAGAGGAGGAGGAGATATTAGAGGACTGAGGAAAGAAGAATGTATAAATTGCCTGTTTAGGAGAGTGGGAGAGTAAACTGCCCAAGAGCACTAAGGACTACTTGAGGCCGAAGGCAGTGAGTTTACAGCACAATGATCAGCTGTCGGTTCTCAGCCACATTCACTGTGCAGAGGCAAGACCACACTGGTAGAGAGTTAGACACAACCAAGGTCAAGCTTTTATCCAGTAGGGACAATAAAATAGAAGGAGGACAAGAGACCATTTTATTAACCATGAAATATCAGCTCTGCAAGGAGGGAGACAGTGACATAAGGTGGGTAAAAACCAGTGAAAAGGAGGCACAATCAGTGGCTGTAGGACAGGTGGAATCAAAGGATTACTGGAGTTAGGGTCCCAGAGGGAGTGAGCTGGACATACAGGAGGTGGTGGTTGGAGGAGGGACACTTAAAGTTGGGGTAGAGAAGGATCTGCAGTTATTGGAATAACTTGGAGAGTCAATAGCTGAGTTTGGGTTGAAAATAAGGTCATTAGAAAAGGGACTGTCAAGGAAATGAAAGGGCAGGGAATGTGACACTCATCTTCCAGGATAGTGAAACCATCAAGAATAACAATGCAGTCAATGTTGGGAGACTGATATGAGAGAGGGGCTAAGTATCCAAGGAAGGTGAGAGAGAGACCTAGAGATCAGTGGCTGATATAAGGAAGAGAGTAGGTCTCCTATTACTTTATCTCTCTGGTCTCAGTTCCCTCATCTGGAAATTGGAAATGGTGATCAGCCTTCCATCTTGGGAGTTTTATAAGGATTGAGGGAGGTAATGCAGGTAGAGCATATGTCACTCATTAGAACTGGCAGACCTCAGTGTTCAGGAATATTTTAAAAAATATTTATTCACGCAAGACTGTAAAGTCTTGAGTATGTATCTCATCTCCTACCAGTTACAGTGAGGAGTGTGTCTTGGAAGGCTAATTGAGCTCAGGGTTGACTCAATAAATTATAATCATCGCAATTCCCCAGAGATGTTTATCTATGGCCCTCTCTGCTTTCATTCATGTCCATGTCATCTCCTTCTTCCTGGCAAGGATGAGTTCCCTCTATCCCCTCCAGCCATCTGCAGACACCACAAGGCTTATTGCTTTCCAGCCCAAATGCCTAACGCAGAAGGCAAAATGCAAATTACCTGCTTTGGCTGCTCTGCTGCCTCCCCTACTGATGGCAGGCTGGCTGAAAAAGCCCAGGGAAGTGACAGTCTCTAATGAAGTGTCACCTTCTGTTCTGAACTGCACTGAACCCAGACATGTGAGGAAGCTCTGGGAAATACAGCCTGACTCACTCCAACACGGGGAGCCTGGGACAAGAGCTGGCTCAAGTCTTTTACGCTTCCTTTCCTATACCCACCCATGACTTCAGCTCTAGGCAGGAGTTTCCATCAAGGGATGAGTTATGCTCTAGCCAACAGGGCACTGTCTGTTTTACTGATAACAGGCATTAACATTCAGAGGTTCCTTGTTCTCAGGAAAGGGGTAATAAAGTTATGGAATGGATCCTGAGTTGCCACAGAGAAGATGCCAGAGTTGAATGGGTCCATGTGGTGAGGTGATTCACCTTGTCCATGTTGCTCAGCCCAGTGTACCTTAAGCCTCCTACCTCTGGCTTAGCACTACTCTGCGGAATATATTAGCCAGGAAAAGATCTGAGCAAGTTTCATTTAGCCTTGCACTTGTGCAAACCTAAGGGTGGAACTCAAACCTCCTCACATTACCCAGAGACTTGCCTTGTTCGCTGCTAATTTTTCATTGTCAGCTACATAGTAGATTCTCAGTGATGAATAAATGAATGAATGAACGGATGAATGAATGGCAGAAGAACACAGAACATGGCTTTTCCAACCCTGACACTTCAGACCAGCTCTGTGCTTGGTACCAAAACCTAGAACTCTCAAGTTTCTTACCTGCCTGAGCCGAGAGGTCATTTTTCCACCCAGAATTTCTGAAACTCCTTTCTTCTACCTAAATTATATATAAAAATGAAGGGCAGCGACTCTCATCTGAAAATATTTTCTTGATCCTTTTCCTCTTCCCAGTAAACAATCACTGACTTACCTCTTTCTCTAATGCAAAGTGACATTTCGATACAGCAACCCTGGAAGGAGACTAGAATCATTAACTCAGAAAAATGGCTGAGCTTCTGCAGTTTGTCCAGCTCCCACCTATTGGCTGAGGAATCCATGTTCTGGAAAAGCACAACCACAGTCCTGTTTGCCAGCTGCTATCTAGCAGTCTGAGCATTGTTGACATTGATTAACATTAAAAGTGACATTTGGCTCTGTGTACTTTCTGAATAGACTCATTTCAACTAAGAAACCAGCAAGGAGTCCTCTGGGGAAAGTATTTTTGGGGAGGAGGGGAATGAAGTAACATCAAACATTCTTTGTCCAACATTTTGGATCATTATCTAAAACGTAAGCAGTTCGTTTAAGGGAAAGAGACGTTGGCATGTCACTAGGAAAGGAAGTTAGCCTCTCAAATATATTAAGAAAGGTGTACCTAGGGAAAGGATGAGAGAAATCTGGGAGCAGCTCAACAGGGTTGAAAATGTTTATTCAACAGGCAGGTGATTTAAGGAGCCATGATTTGCCATACAAAAGGATTGCTAGTAAGAAAAGATACTGTTAAATTACATTTGATTTTTAAATTTATAGTTTACAAGCACATTTTCTGGAACAGAAAAAGCACACCTGTGCATATTTTTTCCCAATTGTAGCATATTAGCCATCTTTCCAGTAAATTTCCTATATGCAGCAGTCACCAATATAGGTTGGCGGTAAATGAGCGAAGTGTTATTTACATCAGCCTTAAAAGTTCAAGTCCTTATTATTCCTTCCTCACAACTGACTCAGAATTGGGCATAGAAAACTGCTGTTTTGAAAGAGCGCCGGATGGGCTGCAACAGACATCCACCTTATTAGAGAGCAAAGTTAAAAAACAGATTCCCAGGCCCCACCACCAGGCATTCTGACTCAGTAAGTCTGGAGTGGGGCCTGGGAATCTGCAACTTTAGCATGCACCTCAGGTGATTCTGATGCAGGTGGCCCACAGGCCACACCTTCACACATGCTGGCTTAGAGAAGATGTCTTTTAGGTTGCGTGTCAAGAGAAATTGCCCTGCCTTCTGCACCCAGCACAACCCGCTGTGTTCAGTAAGTGCATCCAACGTGCTCCATAAGCTCACATGTGGTGAGCAGTTGCTGATCAACACTGCTGTGCTAGGCAAGCCAATCTGCGGGGCTCGGTGTGACACACCCCTGATTTCTCTTTATTCTGTTAGAACGATTACAGGAAGTTATCTATGCAATGCAAGGATTTTGTAGTGGGCGTGCTGGACCTGTGCCGAGACACAGAAGAGGTGGAAGCGATTTTAAATGGTGATGTGAACTTTCAAGTCTGGTCCGACCACCACCGTCCGAGTCTGAGCCGGATCAAACTCGCCATTAAATATGAAGTCAAGAAGGTAAGCTCCCCCATCTCTCCTGGTCTTCCTACCTCGCCTCTCCTCGCAGGGCTGCTGGTCTCGCTTTGTGCTCATGTGTATTTTATGTTCCCACAAGGTGACCATGATGACATCCAAATTCTCTCTAGACAGGGAGCTAGCTGTCAGCTTTGTGGGGCTGCTCAGATCCCCTCCAACATCCCTTCCCACCTCACCCCCAGCCCACCAGGAGAGAGAGCAGAAGCATGAGAGTCAATACCTAAGCAGGACTTGAGCCTGGACAGCAGAAGAGATCTTCAGCCTCAACCCACTGGCAGGGACAATGTCACTGCGAGGGCTTCTATCAGTTAGCAAGCCTGTTCCCAAGTCTTCATGAGAAACAGAACTCATGTCTTTCAAAAGCATTTATTGAGCCTCCTCAGTGTGCTTGGGGACTAGTAGAAAATGTATTAGCGTAAAGGACTTATGAGATCAACAGCTCTGGGAGACTTAGAAGAATTGCACTCCAAAGGCATATGAAAGCCCTAAAGAAGCTCAGGTAGACTTTCCCAAAAGTAAGCTCATGCCACCACCTCCACAGACATCCAGGTGTCTTTAATGGCCGTGGTCACCAGTAGCCCTCAGACCTGTAGTGGCTACTCAGATTAAGATTATACGGAGCAAAAGTCAATTACATTCCCATTTCAGATCTACTCCGGCTTCTTTAGAATCTGCTCTTCTTAAGAATCTGCTCTAGCTTCTTTAGAATCTTCTTTAGAATCTGTTAGATGACATTACTCAACCTGATAAAAACTGGAGCATTCCGAAGATCCACATGTTTAAATATCAATGTGCTTTCCACATAAGCAAAGGAGCTGAATCTCTTTGAGGGGTTCTAATGTTATCAGCTCTTTCATCTGATCAAAACTTAATGGTATTTTTAAAGGCCCCAGATTGGTCTCTGGGCATTCCTTCTCTTTCCTGATTATCTTAATTTGTATGTGTCTTAATTTGTGCCTTCAACAACCATATATATCTGTGAAATTCATCCGGGGAGAGGTTCCAAGTTTGATAAAATCTTCCTGCCCTTTGATATTATAATTATCACAAATTTTAAGAAAAATAGCTATGACCTATGGGAAAGGTGACCTTAGAGATTAACATTAGAAAGCACAGGGTTTTTGGAAGTTGGGAGAATCAGAGTGCAGTTTCAAGTACAGTACAATCCTATTTACTCAGCTCAGGAAAACTTACCTTTTAGCCTAACCCAAGAGCTTGCAGAGGCTTTTCACCAAAACATAGCAGTCACTTCCTGAAGCTGCTGAGATATCCTTGCCCTTGGGGTTCAAACAAACCCTGCTGTGGAAGCTGTCTGTCAGTGGTAAAAATGAGCTGGAGTTCCCAGAACTACAAACATTCTTCCTTTCTGTAGCCAGATTTTCCTCCTCCCTCCCAGCTCAAGGTGAAGGTGTCTAAAAAGCAGACAAAAGAAGATGCTTGGCATTTGCAGATTTATATTCAGAGTTTGGACTATTTATGCACAACTCCAACAGTCCGTGGCATGTGGGCATTCACCATTTCTCTGAAACATAAATTCAAATCTCCTAGCAAAACTGTCATGGAGGGTAGAGTTACTCAGTTAATCCAGAAATCTGGCCCTCACCTCATAACTACATGTCCTCTTTTGTCAATTACCAAGTTCAAAATGGCCCTGGGAATGAATGAGAAGGAAGAAACGAAGCCCTCCATGATCATGATACTGTCAATAAGAATTAAAAGGTTTCATGAGGGAAATGATTGGCTCCAGTGGTATTTGTCAATTAAGGGAGCCATAAGGTCTCGGGAAATCCATCATGAATGTCAAGTGTCTGCTATAATCCATAGGTAGGAAAATGATAGATGACCTGCATAAAATGTCAGTCCTGCTCATTTCTATGACCTCCAAAGGATGTATTTTCTCAAACCTTGTATGCCATTATGAGACAGAGGGCAGACTCATAGCTCTCCTTGACATTTATTTTTCATGAATTACCAGAACTAACCAATATTCAAAAGTCTTATTAATATTACAATGGGCTTCCATTTTTAATTTATGAATTTTAGCATGCTTCCATGGGCACAATCTAACCCTGAATATTCAAGTTATGAAATAACTAGCACCATGGCCTATTTATACATACACTGCCTTTTCTAAGACAGATAGATAGATACATACCGTATGAGGCTTCAGGCTGGAGTATAAAATCATAAAGCATCTTCAAGATTCTGCCCACATGGCATAAAATCAACCCATTAATTAAACAACTTAAGAAAACAAATTGTTCTTAGCAGTTCCATGGGCTGCTAATAGGTGTTACCTTAAAAAAAAAGATTTTGTGTCCAAATAAATTTGAAAACCTTTAGTTAAACACAAACAGGTTTTTTGTTTGTTTGTTTGTTTGTTTTGCTTAAAGATATTATAGAGCCTTTAATATGCATTACAGAGTGGTTCAGGCCTGTAATGCCAACACTGTGGGAAGCTGAGACTGGAGGATTGCTTGATGCCAGAAGTTTGAGACCAGCTGGGGGACACAGCAAGACCCTGTCTCTATTAAAAAAAAAAAAAAATCACTACCTAATAGATGAAGGATACAATGGGTATTACTTGACCACAGACTGCTTCTCAGGTGAAACTAGTTTTTCATGCATGAGTCGTTGGGAAACTAATCTATAATCGGCCTCTATGTCTATGAAATTCCAGGATCTGAATGAAGGTGATGCTACTCTGTGGCTGGTTCTGCAGTCTGGATTGTGTCTTTCATTTGAATGTTTGATTATCTTCAGGCATTGCCCTAATGTCTGGACCTCTGGCTGGCTGAGTCACAGCAGCACCAGCCTCCATTAGATGAAGACAAGTCTCCCACTATAGTTGAAGGGAGCACCTGGTAAAGGGGAAGGAATCCTTAACCGGGTTTCTGACGACCAGGTTTCTAGCCTGATTCTCCTAACCATGTGGTCTTGGCCAAGTCATTGAAGCTCTCTGAGTTTCATTCCCCATTTGCAAAATGAACATACAAGCTTTTGCTTCACACAGGCCTTTTTTGTGCGTTTGTGAACTTCCAAATGAACTGATATGAGAGGAAATGCTCTGGAATCTATAAAGTTCTCTGCAGCTCTAAAAGAAAGCATCATTGCTATCATTCAGTGGTGGCTCTCTTTCTTGGAACTCTAGGATTCTTCTCATTCCCTAGCTTGTCCTTTGTTATCTCCCCAGAGAATGCTAGAAATGTCTCCCTGGGAAAGGACATTATTCATAAAGCCTAAAATTCCTTCCAAAATATCAAAGGCATTGTGAGGACATGATTGTTCCTCATGACTTCTGCCTTAAGATGGCGCTCAGCCTCCTCAGTAACCCAGGTGGGTGTGTCATCTGAAATGTCAAGCATGGTTTTTGGGAAGCAGTATTGGAGATGCAGCTGAGAGGTACCTATTGAAGTCAGTCCCGGTCCAACCACTTATTAATCAGGTCACTTGAGCAAGTTACTCAAATATCCCCAGGCTTCAGTAGCCGATAGGTATAAATGAGGCAGTATTAACACACACATCCCTCACGGTCAATGCCTACGTTACTTTAGAACATTTCTCTTACCCACCTCAGTCCATCCCAGCCCCTCTAGGCCACAGTCCCTGCGGAAGCCAAGCTTACCTCATGAAAAAGCAGGGATACAACCCACCCCCATACTGAGTCATACCTAAGCTCAGGACTCTGCTTATGCTCCACAGCTGAAGAAAATCACCCCTCCAGCACTGGTTTGCAGCCTCTCTACAAAACCTGGCCTTGTCCTGCAGAGACAAGCACCTTGCAATCTTCTCTAGCTCTGTCTCTGTCCTCCGGGAATCATGCCTAACTATCCTTTTCAAAGGCCCTCTCCTTCCACTGCATATCAACTCTAAACACATGCTTAGGAAACTTCCAGCCCAAACAACAACTGGGAACCAACCCAATCAGTCTCTGAATCCCAGTTTAGGCCCAGTTGGGCTGGGTCACGAAGTCACAGAGGGACCCCAGTGTCTGCCATGTGGTCAGTGCTTAGTGATGCGTAACAGAGACTAAGATAGTTGTTGGCACTCTATCCAAATTGTCTATCAGAAGACACACTCTCATCCCTCCCTCTCTCTCCTCTAGATTGCTTCCTCATCTCTGGGCTTACAGAGATGATCTTTTCCTTTCCTTCCCCTACACCATTCCCTCCTCCTTCCTGATCCCACTCTGCCTTAAGTGAGGATCAGGTGAGAGCTCCTATTCACTGCAACAGAACTTCGTGCATATCAGTCCCCTAGGAGGAGAGTGGGGCAAAGAGACCCAGACATTCCTGTTTTGCATGAGAGAGGCCTTAACTCTACCTACAAAGGAGCATCTTTTGGACGCTGCTAAGCAAAGGCCTACTACTGGGGAAAAAAACAAAATATGTAGATATTATTTTCCAAAATATATTACTTCATGGCAGAAAGCACATATATTATCAGGCAAGCATAGCAGTATCACCAACAAGCGTGATTCGTTCCATCTGACAAATTGTCTTAGCCACCACGTGTGAGGTCTACAGACACTGAGCTCAGCCTTCCAAGGACTCAAGCAGAATAAGACACAGGATTACCATCAAAGAGTTACCAGTCTAGTGAGTGAAATGGGACAGGTGTCTTGTGGCTGTAGTAGCAGCAGCCTCTGCAGTGGAGTGGGAGAAGTCTCTTAAGTCCTTCACCAGCTGAGCAAAGTAGCATTCACAGCTATGACCTCTTTCAGACTTGCAGGCGGCCCTGGTTCTAGCATCTTGGGATGCAGCTTGGTTCGAGGGCCTCTGCTCATGGTGCCAGCCATCTTTCCTTCCAAATGAGGAGATCACTCTCCTGAAGAGGCAGCTCCACTCCTCCCAAACCTTCCAGTCCCTGGAATGTTGAGGTGCCCTTTCCTGGTTCTGTCATGCTCCCTGGGTTATTCCTGGCTCAGAATGCTAGTATCACATACAGTAAAGACCTGGGGCAGGACTGTGGGGAGGGAACAA